CTTAGGCCACAAATTCACAATAATTTTTAAGGTAGTCTCCATAAAGTAGAAAACATTTTCCCTGCGATAAACACAAAGTATAAGGAAGATACACTTAATTTCAATTTTCCTTCCTGGAAAAATATTTGGCAGACATAAAGTCTTCATTCACTAGCTCTCTAAAGAAAGCCAAGACACAATTTTCATTTTTTTAGACAAATAAGGGAAAACTTAAGCCCTAGTCTGTAGTGAGAAGTTAATATAAGAATAACCAATTAGGACTTGGTTTGAAACTGTCATAATGAAAGTATACTTGAAATTAAGGATAGGCTAGAAAAAGTAAAATGAATGAAAAATTCTGAATGTCCTTAGAGAAAGAGACAAAATGATATTCAGTAAAAACAGGTGACATCTGACTACTTGAAAATAGAGAGTGCTGTCAAACATAATCAAGATTTGAACAATGAGTTTCTTAGTGTTAATCTTAACTTTTTATTTTATTACTTAATGGGAGAACAGAATTCTTATAATAGAATAGGAAACTATCAATTGTAACACTAAATGCAGCTTTCTGATATATCTGTTAAAATTATCTAATTTATGATCCCAAACAAATTCAATGCAGTGTCACACAAAGCTGTCTATAGTGGTCATGGTTACCATGAACATAAATTGCCACTTTGCTACTTTTTTCAGTTAGCTCAGTGCATTGAAAACTTATTTACAATTTACAAACATATGCAGAATGCATAATTTTTTAAAAAGATGATCATCAAGATCACCAAGGCTTTCTGTATTTAGTTTGTTCCAAGGAAAGTAAATACTCATCTTTTAACAGAAAGTAATTAGTTACTGGGAGCACTGGTAATCAAGTTTTGGCAGCTGTGAAGTTTCTATTATTCCACAAAATCTCTCTAACTTCCAAAAGGCTAGAAGAGCTATAAATTCGTAAAAATTATTTAGTTTGCTATTGCACTGTCGCTTGCAAACCAAGCACTTTTTTCACATTCCCAGTGGGACTGTTAGGCAATCTACCAAAGGAAATAGCAGATTAATTTAGGCATAACTAAAATCAAAAAGTCTTACTCAAAGACATGAAAATAACCCAGATGTAATGATTGATCTGTTATTAATCTAGAAATTCCTTTGTGATTTAATATTGCAGGTGTGTATAGGAATCAGATTCCATGCTTAGCCTGGTACATGTCTGCAATTTATTTCACTTTCAAATTTTTCACTGTCAAAAATCTTGCATGGTGCTCTAGCATCCATTTCTCAGCAGTAATACATAGTGAATGATATTCACAGATGTGTTGTCAGCAAGCAAGATTTGGTTTTTTTTCAGTAAAGGAAGGGTTTTCACTTAAAAAAAAACGCACTAATCTAAGTAATTTCATTCACAGTCAGATTTCATCCATTAGTCAGATTCACCAAGACCAATGTTCTTCTGTAGTTTAAAAACTAGAGGTATGTCTTATAAATCTCAGAAAATGAATAGAATGCTCAGAATATCACCTCCTGTTAGCAATTAAAGCAATTGAGCATGTTCCCCCCAAAAAAGCAGCAACACATGTATGTATGCACGCACATGCATACAAATTGCTCTCTATCAGTCTCCAACAAATTCTCAGCAAATTTTTACTTCCTGTTTTGTTTTTCCTGCTGACAGCACTCATAAAGTACAAAGATTACATTTCTTAAGCAAAACAATTAACTAAATCTAGACTTCCTCTGTTTTGCAGAAATAACAAGCCAGAATCCTTCTTAATGAGCAAGCAGCAAATAGAGAACTAAAATCTGAAGGAACTCAAATATGAGAGATAGATGTTAATTTGTTCCTGCATATGTTCATCTATGAAGGAAATTCCATTTACAGATGCATCAGCTTTTAACTAGAACTTGGGATTTAATAGACTGCTTGAAATCTTTTCCAAAACATGAAAGAAAGCTAACTAAATTCTCTGCATTATTCCAAATCTGAGATGTTAAATTTATAGGAAATTTTAAATTCACTATCTATATTTAGTTATAAAGACACACATTTTGAGTTTTGTTGGATCTAAGAGGTCCTCAATTCATTGTTCTGAAAGTTAAACCCTGTAAACTGCAACACAAATACTTCTTAGTCTTCTACTCACAGACTGAAATGAACATTTCTTTCCTAACACCAATCCTACATAACCAGGCAATGTTCTTAAATTACTCTTTTGAAGGCTGATCTTCTTCATAAAAGTACACTGCTTTCTGGCACCAGAACTCCACCAAGAGTGCCCTCATAAACTAAATCAGTCTCGTGACAAATCTATCAGTTCTTCTGAGCATTAGGACAAACATTTGTTGTACTTGGAAGATCCTGTACTTCAAGGCCTGCCAGCTTTGGTGGGCTCCTTTGTTTACCTCTTTGTGCTGTCTCCCATGATCCCAAAAGTTCCCTGACTAAGCCACTGTCCTGCTTTCCTTAGGTTCAGGGTCTATACTCTGCTGCTCATCTTTCTGACTTCCTTCAGGACCACCACCACTGCTATTTCAAAGTTACTACAGACAAGGAAATTATTCATCATCACAACCCTAACTAGTTTCCTTCATATTAGTCAAGAGTAGATCCAGCTATGCATCACCACTGATTGACCCTTTCAATACCTTCCACAAGAATTTATTTTGAAATCCTCCAGAAGTCCCTGTGATTGAAACAGCCATGTTTCCTTTCTAGTAGCTCTACATTCAGTCACCCGTGAGAACTAGGGTCTACAACTCAGAGTTTTGGGTTCTTTAAACACTTTATTTGATTCCCCATCAATGGGTCTGTAGCGAACTCCTACCATAATGACACCATTATTAGCTTTTCCTCTGATCATGAGTCACAAGTCTGATTAACCCCCATCCTGCTGGAGACCTTAAAAGATCTGAGCTGCTTATAGATCCCATCCCCTCAGTCCTTCCTTGCCAGTGTTTCTGGAAGTTCTTCATAGTACTCCAGCTGCATGAACTTTGCACAGTACTTGAATTGTTCCAACAATGTTACAGTCCTATAACCACATATAGCTCTAATTTCTCCCGATTTTTTCCAGAGTGTGTGCATTTCTTTACCAATGTTTGAGACAGGTGTCACTGCACACTGTTTTATCATTCCTGAAGTCTTTCTTGTTCTTATCAACCTGAGCCCCAAGCTTTCCACATGCCCACCAGTTCTTCATTTAACTATGGTCTGTAATGTCTCATTGCCTGCTTTCCTAGTTCAAAGCTATCCTCATTAGGTTAACAGCTTGTAGGATCAAGGAGACAACAGCTAGGTCCCCATAACTTCAATTCCAGAGCCATGTGATAATTCTCAGTACGCCCCCAGCTGGTGTCCATGTGGATGGGTAGCAGTGTGAGGACAGGATAGACCTCAGCAATCTGTCTGCAGTAGTCTGAATCCTAGACCACAGTCAGCCACATAGCCCTCAAAAAGGCAAGCTGAGGGCACGGGATTTCTCTTCCCATAGGAGCCAAGCCTCCTGCTACTGCCACTTACTGCTTCTTCCTGATGTTAACACATGGTTTGGGTTAAAGCTGGCTCTGATGCCTCACCAGTCGTGGCTGTCTTCTACTTTTCTACCAAGCATTTGAACCTTTTGAACTGATCTGGAAAAAGAGCCCTCCTCCATTTGCTAGAAAACATAAGTTTCCAACCCTCCTACTATGGGCCTCTATTTACCTTGAAACTCACAGTCTCTGGCTGCCCCTCTCGTGTGATTCAGACTTTCTTACCTCTTGGAACCCTGTGATGATCCAGTTAATCTCCTCTTTGCTTTCCCTGAACCTGCCCAGCCTGCTCACTTCCTCCTCCAGCTTAAAAGAAACAACATATTTCCTTAGCCAGCATCCACCTCTTAGGCAGGGATACTTTGTTCTCTTGCCTCAGCCTCCTGAAGGTATCAGGCACTGCCTGCAGCTCAAGGCCTGGGGACTTGCATCCTCCCTCAGCGGGTCCGAGCTGAGGTCTCTGCTGTGCCAACAGCAGTTCTCCCAGCTGGCATTGTGGACCATGCCCCAGGCTGTGCTGCTACAGATGCTGCTGCCATCAGTGTGTTCCCAGCTCCCTCCCACATGCAAACTGTTGGAGAAACCAGCACTCCCCACAGACATGGGACTTGTTCTGGGCTTGCCAGCTGTACCTGAACGGGGACTCGGCTCTCCCTAGGCAGGATTTACCTCTCTTGGCCACAGCCTAGATCTCAGGGTATCCCCACCATCTCTGAGGATGCTGTCTCCCCTTCTTGCCAGGTTGATACCCCAACCATGCCCACTCAGTACCCCAGGGGCTATGTCTTCAGGGTTCCTGAACACCCGCTTGCCTCACCTGGGCCCCTTGTCCCTGAACACAAGCTTAGCTGGCCCCTGATCATGGCTTACTGTACATCAGAGCCACTAGCCTCATCACACATGGGGATGGGACACCAGAGCCTGCCTTTTCCAGCTGGTCCCTTCCCGTGGAGCCACCCCAGTGCCACTCTCGTAACTCCCCACACCAGTGCTGCTGTGGCTTCACGCACCATCATCAGGTCCCTCCCCAGCAGACTACACAGAAAAATTATTGATAAATGCTGGATTTATCACATTCATAAACCCTGGATACAATTTTACTCTTAGCTACAACACAGAAAATCAGAAGTCTAAATTCTCTTTCTTATTCCATGTGAAAAGGGAGCCCCTGGTGGTCTAGAGGGTAAAGGCGCTGCACTGTCACTGCAGAGACCCAGGGTCGATTCCCAGTCAGGGCCACTCCCCGGGCAGATGGAGCTCGTTAGCACTGTAAGGCAATCCATCTACGTCCTGAGGACCTCGCTGCCACCGTCCAAGCGTGCTTGGCCCCGACAGATGAACCTCAGGATTAAAGGGTGGGCTCAGTTCCGCGCACACTGTGTCTCACCTAAAAAATCCAATGCGCAGGCTGGAAGGTGTAAAGACCTTCCCTGGTTCTTCGTTTGCAGAGACTGGCCATTACTATTCCATGTGAAAATGATGTAGTACCAACATACCTGTTTCAGGCTTTCTAGTTTGGTGTGCCTCAGTTCTTCATATTTCCATTTATAAAGAAATAATTCATTTTCCATCTTTTCCATTTCTTTCTCCAGAAATGCATTCATTCTGAAAAAGTATTTTAAAGTTCAGCATTGCACCATTTTTAAGCTGACAAAAGACAAATTACTTTGAATATCCTTTCCATAGCTTGAGTTATATTTTGCTGCCTTTATCAATGCTATATCTTGCTTTTATTAAAAACCTATATTATCATTACATAATTATTCCAAAAGATTTACGAAAAATAATAGCTACAGAGAAAAAAAGAAATACAGTGGTATGGAATTAATATTTTAATAAAATAAAATTTTGAGATAAACTGAAGAAAATTTGAACTTTGACTTCAGTTAGTGGTTCAGGTCACCTAATTTATGGCAACATAGTGAAGATCCTCAAAGAAAGGGTATTACATCACTTTTATTTGGTATAGACAGAATATTAGTTTAAACATACATATATAGGAGAAAATATACAGTATGAAGACAAAACAGAAACTAAAATGATCAACCTTAGATGTTAAAAAAAAAAATAAAATACTTATATTTCAGGTAAGATGCTAAGAATTTTAGGAAAATGGAATATTTTGCTCAGAAGTACTAAACCTGTAGAATGAAAATAAAATTGAAACAGTTTTAAAAAAAATTCCAGTACTGGCAATTAAAGAAACTTTTGTGCCAGATTGTAGTTATTTTCTATTCTGAGGCTAATGGAATTTGTCAACCTTTTTACTAAAGGTGTATTTGTCAGGCTAGACTAGAACTATATTCTGAGAACATTTGGTTTCAAATTCATCTATTAAAGCAAAGTGTATTGATGGGTTTTGTCTGGGGCATTTCTGTGCAGCACACTGCAGGCTTGCACAGACATAACAAGAGTTACCACTGACTGGACTGGCTCAGGTCCTGGAAGCAATGTTAGCTGCATTAATGAAGCAATCCACTTCAGTGAAATATCTTCTTGTTCTTGAACCAGGTATCATCTTTTTCTGCCTAGATTTAGCATATCACACATCTTCTCTAGCAAACAGCTAGAGCTCCCATAAACATTACAGTCATAAAATAAACACCATCATTCACAAAGCAAAGTGGAGTAAGATGTATTTCATTCAATTCAACTCAACATTTTTTCTTCTAAAGTAATAGAATATCTCATTGGAATGATATCATGACTTCATTGGGGAAACAAAAGAATAATTAAGTGGGACATTTAATACAGTGGAAAGGGTTTAATACTTTGACTTTATTGAATGTAGCGAAAGTCCTTAGAAATGGTTTAATCTGAAAAGTAAAAGAGGAATGTCCAGTATGAGATGCTTATTTAGAGGATAATAGCTTTATTTTATGTTACATTACCTCTTAAGTGAGATCAGGTACCACTGATACTGCTAAATGAAACAGCTGATCCTGACTACATAAAGTCTACTATTTAATAAAGAAAATAAAAAGTGGAAGAAAGGTTATAGCAGAGATCAGTGAAGCAGCATATTACTAGTTAAAAAGACCAAGGTCGGAGCATTTTAATGGCTCTTTTAACCAGCTATTTTAACTCCTTATTATGTAATTAAATAACATAATTACACAGAATGATTGAGGTTGAAAGAGACCTGAGGAGGTCATCTAGTTCAAAACCCCTACTCAAGAAGGGTTGCCTAGAGCTGGTTTCAGGTCCATGTTCAGATGGCTTTTGAACCTCTCCAAGGATGCAGACACAGCAACCTCTCTTGAAAACCTGTGCCAGTGCTCAGTCACCTCACAGGAAAAAAAAAAAAAAGCATTTCTTGATGTTCAGACAGAACCTTCTGTATCCACTGTCTAAGTCTACCAATCCAGCTCTAAGAAATTCCTCTTTGATATTATTAACTATGAGTGTAGTTTGTGAACTTTTGATTTTAGAGGAAAAAACATTTTTAAGTTCAAAATGAAATAAATTACAATCTTAAAACTAGAAGACATTTAGATGAGATCACTGATCCAAAAGATGACCAAAGATAACTACCTTAGGCAAATTATTATTTAATGTGTTGGACAACTCATAAGGTTTTTAATTTTCACTTATGTTAGTGAGACCTCAAATATGTATTTGATATGAGCTATTAGTGCCGAGCAGAGGACGTTGGTGTGTGATTTCATATTGCAAACCAAATCCTGACATTTTTTGAAAGTCAAAATATAAACTTTCATCCCTTAGTTTTATTTTTTTCCTCTTTTCAGATCTTCTTTCTTTTTGTATTTTGCAAAGCCTTATCTGTGCAAGTAACAGTATATCAGCATTACTGATGATAGCTCTAAACTGAATGCAATAGGCATAGGTCCTCTCAGGGTGAAGACACAAAACATCTTATAGGAAGATTAGATAGGTAACTAGGGGCAAGTCCAAACACTGGATATGCTTAAGATGACTTGACTTTGGAAAAAAATGCAGACACAGTTCAGAGTACTGCATGTAAACCAGAAAACTCTGCTGGGTAGTCCTCTGGTCTATGAGTAGTATCATACTGACTGCCAAAGTAACCTTTGGCCTTGGGGTTCAAGCTGTCTGTGATCTGCTTGCTTTAGATGAAGCACAGCTGTGTGTGCCCTTGGCTCAAGTTCACTGAGAAAATTGTGAAGTTGTGAGGGAAAAGCTGAGAGAAAGTACTTAAGCTAGAGCTGTGCAAGATAAGAGAAGTAAAACATGCAGAGGTGAGATTGCTGAGATAGACATTATTAACAGCTCCAGAATCCAGGAGCAAAATTACTATTATGGACAAGAATAAAATGTAAGAGGGAAAACTGGGAATCTGAAGATGGAAAATCAGCAAAATCAGTCAATTCCATCGAGCAGCAGAGATCAACCCTTTCTGAGCCAGCAGATGACAGCCTGCCCAATGAATATTCACCAGCTATCTCAAGAGACCAGTGGCTATGGTAACACTTCTCCAAGTAACATTATTCCTAGCTATTCACTGTGTGCATTGTCAAATAAAATTGCTTCATACTGTGAAGTTGCGTATATTCTGCTAATATAACATTTTTACACAGAGGAAATGCTGCCTAAACTGACCTAGAGCTGGAGTTGTTATATCAATGCCTGCTGTTATGTGGAAATCACTGCTCTGTGAGCATTTGCTGCCTGAGGTTGGCACAGCCACATATTTATTACATGTTCTAGATATGCCTCAATTCTTACCCTGTGCCAGTAAATTTATTTTTTATACCAGTCAGAATACATTCAGGCATAAACGGCAAATGTGTGTCTCTGAAATACAGTTACAAATCAGCTAGAGAAGCATGTGAACAAACAAAGCAAAACCAGAACCAGTAGGCAGAATGATGGTTTATAAAAGTTTTGCCTAAAAAGTGATTAAAAACAAGAGTTGAAAAATTATCATGTTTCAAAAAGAAAATTATTATACATACATATTCATATATGTATCCTTGATTGCCATTGAAAGATGAAACACCTAGGACCCTTCATGTCTCAATCAGAGAAAAATAGATATGTGAGGTATTAGTTTCTTAACTCACACATATATATACATATATATATATATATAACTTCCACAAAAAACCTAAACACTTTTTAAGGAGAGAGAACATACTTCTGGTCATCTTCTGCCATATGATTCACGTAAAGAATTATTGTATGCTTTCTACAGCTATCTATTTTCTATAACAAAACACATTAAATACTAGTTGGAAATTTAAAGGAACAAAATTCTTCAAAAAAGTTTACCATTACACTCTATGAACTGAGACTGTTGCATATATTTGCAACAAACAGAGTTTTCTTCATTTCAATTTTCAGATTAACTTCAACTGACTTTGAAATTACAATCACATAGTCACTATGCTGAATTCTCTCTCTAAATTTTTATCACAGCCTTGTAAATAGCAATGGTTAAAGCTTAGAAATGAGAACATACGAGCTATAAGTGCAGAAATCACCATATCTATATTAGAAAGTGTCTTAAACCCCTTTATTTTTAATAGAGATTTCTCCAAGTAGGATGTATTTTGTACTTACTCTCTTTCCTTCTGTAAGATTTTCTTAATCTCAGCCAAATGCAAATGTAAGACTGAAACATGTATTAAGTCATTCTCAGTTGTCTTAGCTTTAGTGTCCAAACTTTTTTTAGGTTCCTCCAAATAGATACTGGGAAGTCCATCAGGGAAGAAATCAGGGGGCTTTGGAATGATTTTTTTATTGTGATTGCTTTGGTTTTTGTTTGCCTCTGCATCCTGAGAAAACAAAAATATGACATCTGAGAAAAACATAAATGAAGGGGAAAGTCTAAGATGATTCCTGCAGGGCCTATCCAGACTTTTCCTGACAGTTAAGTCACATAGGAGAAAAAAGTTGAATCACTGCAATTTTGTGACATGTCTCACACCTTCTAATAGAAGCTTCATATCCAAAAATATTTCTAGTGTGTCTTTACTAAAGAAATAGATTCCATTTATCATTTGTTGGATATAACTATGGTGAAGATGGAATCCTGGAATTAAAGAAACCCAGAATGCAAGTTATGCATATAAATAATATATTAAGAAACTCTGCTTTATAGACTCAAACTTTTAATGTAAATTGTGTTGGTTTTCTCATAAGGAGCAAAGTATATAAATATCTATTTTGAAGATACATGTTTTGCATAAAAAAATCAGCAAAACTAATTAAACACCTAGGAAAAATAATTAAAAAAATACACAATTGTTAGGAAGACTGAATGTCTCTTATAAGCAAGTTTCCTTTATAAATATAATTGTTTTACCACTTCTGATGAATGGTGTTTAAAAGCTAATGTCATTTTAGCAGATTACTAACAGTTCTATTTCATATCACTCTGTTCTTTTGAGTTTTTTGAAGAATAATCAAAATTTACATCAGAAAATACTAGAAACCACTGTTTTCCATTCACATATAATGTTTCAGCTTTTAAGTAGAAATTACTTTATACCAAAGAGAAATAGTTAAAATATATTTAGTGTTATTTCCTTCATGTGGCACATTTTTCTGCCCAAAAATATGAAAGACAAGCATTTTTTTCCAAAATTTGTTCTCCATAATAACACTATACACTTTTTTATAAACACTTTTTTTCAAATTTCACAGGAATTTAATATCATTTATATGCATTATTGAGTGAATAAAAATTCTGAACAGAACACATTCAGATCTAAAATCCCAACAATTTCCCTTAAGTAAAAAATTTCCAGTGTACTACAATCTAGGCAAAACCATTTTTATGCAATATGAAAAAATTACCTATATCTACAACTGCTGTCTATCAGACAACAAATACAGTTTTGACATGATGCTGTCTATGGAGAATTTACAATGCATGCCAAGGCACAGAAATAAAGGTGGTGAAACATGCATAAATAGTTCCATTTTTGATGAATAGAACTTTTGTGTAGAACTGAGAGCTGACTAGACAATGCCTGTACCTGACAGTTTAGTTATATGCCACAATTTAGTTGCCCTCCTTATCAAACAAAAATTCTTGCTAATTTGCAGAAGACTTTGCCTCACCTCTTCCCATGCTTCTGAAGTTCAGAGAGAATTAAATGGCTTTATTTTAGAAGCCAAGAATCTAGTTTGGTTTTTGTTGGAGGGGAAAAAAAAGTGAGTACACAGATCATGATGAATTCAGCCAACAGAGCTAATCTGTTACTATAAAACATAAGAGTAAGAGCAATACTCTTGGAGAGAATAGTCTGCCTCTGTTACTTAAGTGTTTAGTCAGAGTGCGTGGGTATGAACTGTTTTCTGTATTTCTCTGTATTAAGAATATTTAGATTGGTGAAGAAAAATGGTTTTGCCAATGAATGGATGAGGCAGCATTTTGGTCAAAATGCTTGAAAAATCCCATATTCTGCTGCTTCTTCATGAACCAAAAAAAGATTCCCCATTCTTTACCTTCTTTGTGTCTTCTGTCGCAGGAATTTTGATGATTTTGCTCAGTTCTTTCACAGGTTCTGTCTCCAGAAATGTTAACAGGTTTCCGTCTTTTTTACCATAATATATTTCTGAGCAACTGCATTCTGTTTTCCAGCCAGTTCCATTTTCTAAGTTTTCCTTCTCACTTATTAAATTTTGATTTATTTTTTTAAGCATACTTATTTCTTTTATCGCACTGTCTAATTTGATTCTCAATTGCCTTGCTTCCTCTTGGGCTTTATTTCTTTCTCCTCTAACTTTGCTCCATTTCTCTCGCCAGTTAGCAGTGCAATCTGACCACCAGCGCATGGTCTTCTCCATTTGGGCAGCTCTGGCTTTGACTTCTTCCAATTCCTGAATTTTTACTGCTTCAAAAATTTCCCAATCACTGCTGTAATTCATATGCATATATGTATAATGAGATGAATATGGGTAGAAACTTTGAGATGGCAGGTTTAAATTACATAGATGGTCACCTGGTTGGCAACCTCCACCTAATTTATAAGGTTGTCTTGGTTGGGTCCCAAAAATGTGTGTCTCCTCTATTTGTTTCTGAATGGAGCCTAAGTTCATATTTTGATTCATCATCTAATTTCACTCCTAAAAAAGACAAAGACAGACAATAATTTATCTTTACTCAGATTATATGAATAACCTCCAACAGTAGGGTTTTTTTACTACTATAATAATGAGTTAATTTTAATAATGCTGTTCATGTTTTAGAAATGTGCTTAATCAACAAGAAACAGCTATTAAAAATCTTTTATGTAATACTTTTCTAGTACAGTATAAACAGACGTACTTATTACTTGGCTAGGAGTTGCTAGCGAAGGAAGTGTCATTAAATAATCATTGTGCTGTCAAAAATTTTTTGAATCGAAAGAAACCAGACAAAAGCTTTCTTCCTTCAAGACAAGATTAAATTGAATCAATATATATTTTAAATATCTAGTAAGAGGAAATTATTTGTCTAGAACTACAAACAAAATTCATTTGCTTTCTTCCCCAAACTGTGGAATTTCATACTAGGAAAACTTACCTTGTAATTTGCATACATAAGGAAAAATGTGATCAACACCCCCCCCCCCCCCCCCAACCTCTGGATTTTCTTTGTTTCATGAGAAAAATCAAGCATTTTTACAGGGAGCTTTCTTTTGTTGTCTACATTCCATAAGACTTACAAGTACTATATTCTTACAATATTCTTGAAAATGCAGCACTATCTTACTGTACTGTACGGCCTACCTTGTGATGATATGACTCTGCTAGCAAATCTTATTACTTTCCTATTCACTATTTAGCTTTTCAATTTTTATTACTCATTTGGCCAGAGGAAAAACAGTATCTCAGAAATTGCTTTCCCTCTCCTGTGCTGAGAAAATGCTGATGTGGACAGTCTGTAGAGGCTAGTCACTTATACCTCCTTGTTTTTACCCCTCTTGTTTATCTTAAAAACAATAACAAAAAAAACAAACAAGGAACAAAATACAAACAAATAAACAAACAAACCTAAAAAGCTTGCTATTTCAACAGAAGACTAAGTTGTTTAAAGTAGAACAGAAATTGCTCTTATATTCCAATATCCATTTGTAAAAAAAAATCATGTTTATCTGTTACAGCAATTAGTGTTCACACCTGTATTTGAAATGTAGAAGGTCAATGCTGCAAATAAAATTCTTAAGAGTAGATAGTTTTGGCACTGAGATTCAGTCATGTTTCACTTCAGCTAAATAGATGTTTTTGCAGGTTTTGTTCCAATTTTCCAGCTGGTTTTAACTTTTCCATGATTTCCAGGGTATTTATTTACAACTTGTTAGAAGCTTATAGAGAACTGTTGTAGTGAAGTATGGATATGAGAGAAGGAAAAAGATAGTAAAGCACTCCAAACTCCCTTCAGCACCAACTCCCACAGCAACACTACACAGATGTAACACAGCTGCTGCCAAAGCTTCATCAAGGTTAAGTCTTTTTTTTTGTTTCTTGACCCACTTCCAGCTGCTTAATTTGAATATGCCTTATCCAAAATACAAAGATATTGCCACCCACAATTTTGTATAAAGCTCAGTAGAGCCAAAATGACTAAATATTAAACTCTTGCAGTAAGCTGTTAATTTAACTTCTGGGTTGTGGTAAAGCCTTTGTTTCCTAAAATTTTAATGAAACAAACAAACAAAACTACAGTAAATTTTATATATATAATAATATATATAAATATATTACATAATGGAATAAACATATAATGAAATAGTTTAAACTTTTGAGGTTTTAAATTTTTTCTTAATTTTTTTTTCCAAACTATCTATATCTACAGAAACGTTCATTACACTCTTCATAATCAGTAGATTTTTTAATGGATTTAATTAGCAGCTTTGCATATTCACTAAAAGAAGGGAAAATTTGGGGAATGCGAAGTTTACAAATCTTTGGAGAGATAAGAATGGAAATATTTTCCTTTAGCTGAAACTGTGAAAGACCTGAGAAACCTTCATGAATCAGAATATCTTCTTGCTGTGGTTTCATTGTGGGCGTGAAGCGATTTAACTGTAACCGACTGAAAAAAAGAGCCACTTGTCATGAATTCTTGCTCATCTCCACTGTGATGGCTCAAGTGCTATTGAGGCTGGGACACTACCAGTCAAATCAAACTTACAGTAGTAATATTTGAAGTAAGCTTGTACAAGCTAATAGTCTCTTAGCCTTCTAATAGTTTTATGACAGGCTGAAGTTTGACTGCACTTTTCATCATGGATAGATGATTCCAACTCGGTACCTAAAATTCCCAAAAAATTAAGAATTAAAAAAAGTTGTTCCTTCTCCAGAAAACAGAAGTGCTGGCTCAGTCCAAGGTGATAAGGAAAATGAGATGTTTCTATGAGTCTTAACTTCCCTATGTGCTCTTCAGAAAATATAAAAACTGTTTTGTAGAAATCCCCTTTAAGATTACAAGACGTAGAGTGATATAATTTTTTCATTACAAGACACAGATCTCAACATAACCCATTTCAGTGGCTGGCTGACTCAGGATTAAAACACAAGATAATAGAAATATTTGTTGGTAACAGGAATTATCTTAAAACTATGAATTATTAAGATATGTGCTCATAACTGTTTTTAAAAAAGTAGCCTAAAATATTTTTCTTGAAAGGAAGAAAAGATTTAAAAATTAGAAAAATGTGTTGATCTTTGTAAAAGTTCTGAAATGGTCAAAAATCTCACTTTTCTGAGGGGATGATTAGGATGTGCCTTTTTATTTTATTTTCTTTGCACTTCATACTGATCTACTCTTTCATGTTCTTAAAAAATATTGCACTAGTGCAATAATATTAAAAACTAGTCCAAATGAAGAGTGTTTAATACTGAATCAGTTGATACTGAATCTTTAATGATCCCCATAGTTATCGTGAAATATTAAAAAAACTCCCTCTCTTCTCTGGTACAGAATCAGCTCATAGAAAAGTATTTAATTGTAAAACTTCATATATCTACATTGAACTCAGAAAGGCCTCATCTATAGAATATCCATATATGTTCCAGGGGAGAACAAGAATCATTTCTAACTTGTATGTTAAAGATAATTAAAGACGAAAGTTATATGTTAATATTATTGGACAAGGATCTCTAAACATCAGAAAGTCTGAAAACTGACAAAAAGAAACCTGTATGCAGCTAGTTTTCAAGTTGCTAGTTTGAGTTTGTGGCACCAGACTAGCTAGCACAGAAAATGGAGCTCAGTGAGCATAATTACTTAATAAAAGATAATTCAATGGAAAGATAAGACAAACTTAAAGAATTGGATGAAAGTGGGGGTTTTCTGTTCAGTGAAACTTTCTGATAGCTCCATTTTTAACAACTGAAGGATAACAAGGAACACAAATTCCCTCTTAGAGTACTTTTTCTTAACTGCATAAAATAAGTATAAAAAAATATGTGAAGCAACATGAGAGGGGTGGGGACAGTATGTTAGAACACTGACAGTTCTCAGAGAACAATAGAAGACAGACATTTGGTGAACAAGACAAGGAACATAATTCTAAACCACATTTCATTGTATTGAAACCTCTCCTTATTTATTTAATGATCCTGAACACCAGTAAGAAAAAGAAGAGCTATTGATTTATTATTGCCAGCTATTGTTATAGGCAAACAGAAGCATATTAACACTTGGTAGCACAGTTAACAAAATCACCATGAGAGAAAAGAAGTATTGTGCTTTCCCCTTAATACCTGCTCACTGAACTCAGCTTTTTCAGTCAGTTCAGTAGCTAGGGCAGCAGCTTGAGGATAATTTTTCAACACCGTTTTAGTAGTTGCATGACTTAATCCTTGTTTACATGTCTCTTAATTATTAAGACCTCATCCAAACTTTTTTAAAAGGCATTTTGTCTTTACAGAAAATGTCTGCTACAGAGTCAGCCAGGTAATTTTTTTTTATCTAATCTCTAAATTTAATAGGACAAAATGAAACATAGAAACTGTATGTGATCTTTTGTAAGTGCTCCTAGAGAGTCAGAATTTTCCATAGTATTGCTGCAGTTCACCATTCAACTGAAAAAACCCCAACAAAGGCTTAGAGAAAATGGCCAAGGGTGACAGGGTCATTATGGGAAAAACAGAGGGAGTGACTGACTCTCACTCCCTGAAAGCTTGGCTCTTTGCTAAGAGCTGCTAACTACCAAGCTATCAATTCAAGAAAAGGAGATCAAATTATGCATGGCTGTTCCTGTTGTGAAGCTGGTTTTGATTAGTAACCCTTAAGGGTTCCAACCAGTGGCTAGAGAACAGGACAAAAAAGTATTGCTAAGTAAATGACTGAAATTCATGGAAGAAAAAAACCACCACTCTGGAAAGTGATTTACAATAAAGCTCAATCTGAGAACATATCCATAAAAACGTATCTAGTTATCTGATCCCTAAAAATCCTGGCAACAGAGAATCAAGTAGCTGATCATTTGAGTAGAAAAATTTTACACAAAACTTTGAGGCAGAATGACTACCTGGTTACAAGAATGGCTGGGATTTAAAATTTATTTCAATAGGCTATCAAGGTCATTTCAACAGGAAAGGATGCCCAGTGGCAAAAGTTCTGGCAAAACAAATCGTATATTCATGCCATTTTTTTGTCAAACAATGGTACATCACATCACAAACATTCTACCAATGGCAGGGAAGGTAAATTAATCTGGGAAACTTCTCATGTGTGTTATATTGATCCTTTAGAACAAACAC